TAAAATATTGTCAATTAAAAAAAATATTTAGCGCTTAAAATTGTTGAAAAACTAAAATTTTGTAAGAGTAAACTACCCTTTTCGAAAGGATGAGGGGTTGAATTTTAATGGCAGCAAATGCGGCTACAAAAGTTTAATTAGTTTACGTAAAATGTTTGAATTTTACTTTTTATATAAATAATTACAACCTATTTATTTTTTTGGTCAGCAAATTAGAAATCCACGTTGAGAGTGAAGTTGTTTTTCTTTCCTAGGTGTAGGAATACCTACTATTATTGAACACTCTTACCATCACAAGTACGATTAATGGAAGTATTTCGAGATAAAATTAACACAAAATTAAATAAACAAAACATAAATTTCCTCATTAAAAACATCGAAATAACCCCAACTCTAATCTGTCTATGTCTATGTCGTGTTAAAATACTATCGGTAGTGAGGCAAATTTTAACACTTTCTTTTTTTTTGCAGTTTCTTTGTTATTGTAATAAACATTTCGAACTATGAAGTTAAAAAATTCCTTTAATAGTTGCAGAAGTACAAAAATGACATAACCTCATTTATGATAAGAAAATAGTAGGTTGTACTTCTAACAAGTTAATAACTCAGGTAAGTAATTATAATTAATTACTGTAGGTAATAGTGAATTAAGAAAAAATATAGTTGTGAATTACGACATGTTACGTCTGAGCCAACATGTCCATTAATTAGGGTTATATTTTTCTATTTTTCACCGTTGTATTTCTGGGTAAGAAAAAAGTGTTGTATAAAACACGGTAGAGAAGATTTTTATAACCTCGCATTTATTGTTTAAAAATCTCTTCTCTACTTATTTGTAATATGTATAATATACCTACTATTTTATTTTGTATGTTTGGTCTATAATAATTAATACCTTGTGAACTTTTACCAATTATTTCAAAATTTAATCACAGTTTAAATTTTGTATTTATTACCTTGGTGTTGTATGTTCTTAGATAACTATAAGTGCTTCTTGAATTGTTGTTGTAAATGATATAATCAGTCGGGGCCGTCAAAGTACCTCCGCAGCCTATAAC